GGCTCGGTGGCTCAGCCTATAGTTCCAGCACTTTGGGAGGCCAAGGTGAGTGGATTGCCTGAACCTGCAGATTTGAGACCAGCCCAGGCAACTTAGCGAGATCTCGTCTCTACCAAAAAAAAAAAAGTTAGCTGGGTGTGGTAGCATGCGCCTGTAGTTCAGCTACTTGGAAGGCTGAGCAGCCACTGCACTCCTGCCTGGGCAACAGTGAAATTCCAACTTAAAAAAAAAAAGATGGAGCCTTGTCTACTCGATAGGAAGGTCCCAACAACAGGGTCTGTACTCCAGTATATACCTCCTCAGGTCCTAGCACAGTGTCTGGCCCATATGCATTGCTGGGTAAATGCTGGTGGAGGGAATTAATAAGATGATACATAAAGCAAAGCTTTGAGAAGAGGACTCTTCAAGTCCTCTTCAGGTAACTGCATTTATTGACTTACTACTGGTATCATTTGGGATACGTTAGGTTATTCTAAAATAACAAACAACTCAAAACTATCAGCAGCTTGAAACAACAAAGTTTTATTTCCTGTTCATGTTACAAGTTCATGATGGGCTGGCAGGGAGACCCTGTTCACTGCAGTCACTCAGGGACCCCGCGTGATGGAGCAACCACATCTCACATATTGGTCACTGCGCTAGAGGAAAAGAGAGCTCTGGAGGGTCACAGTGGTGATTAAATTCCACCTATAAATGAGACATGTCACTTCTGTTCACAATTCATTGGCTGAAACTTTCATACAGCCATAACTAATCTCAAAGGGAGCCATGAAGTACAATCTTGTCACGTGCCTAGAGGACAGGGAGCTGGAAACACTTGGTGAATAGTATTAATGAATGTCACGTTATTTGAAAGGCAGGTAAGGGCCTCAATTCAGATTGGTTGATAGATCGAAATATATAGCCGGTCTCGGTGGCTCAGCCTGTAATCTCACACTTTGGGAGGCTGAGGTGAGTGGATTGCCTGAGCCCGCGGGTTCGAGACCCGCCTGGACCTCATCTCTACAATAAATCAAACAATCAGCCAGGTGTGGTAGCGCATGCCTGTAATTCCTGCTATTCGAAAGGCCAAGGCAGAAGGATCACCAGAGCCCAGCAGGTCGAGGCTGCGGTGGCTGGGAGCGGCCACTGCACTCCAGTCTGGGCGACCGAGTGAGACTCCAACTCAAAAAAAAAAAAAAGAAATATACAATGTACACTATTATCCCCCTTCTTACCGTTGAGGAAATTGATGCACTAAGAGGTTGAATTAGTCGCTCAAGCTACCCTGCTATGAAGCAGGGAGCTAGGATTCAAATCTGCATTTGTCTGACTCCAAAGTCTTTCTCAGAGGCACTTAAGTCTTTATGGGAAAAGCTTTTGGTTCTGCCTCTCCCTCATGGCCTAGGAAAAGAGGTACCATGAAGCCTTACCTTCCCCCATAGATTTTATTTCACTGTCTCTATGTCACAGGTAGACTTTAGTGTTTGTAAACAATCTAGGCAATGTTTAAATGGGAGAAAAAAACATTTAGGAAGCTGCATTATACACTTTGCTTTACCATGTGAGTTTTCCCTCAGGGACCTCCCTCTCTCTCCATTGGACCTCTCTCTGCAACCTGACTCCCAAGAAGTAGGTAGCAGAGAACAGACCTACCAAATAGCCAAGGAGGAGAGCAGCTTGTCTCCAGAGATGGGCATCAAAGCAAGAAGGGGGAGCCTTAGCTTTCTTCTCACTTTAAACCGAACCTTTCAAATTCTTCCCCAAGGCTTAGAGTTTGGAATGAAAAAAGAATAATGACTCAGGTTTATTCTGGGACGTGTGTTCTCCATGCCTCATGGATAAATATCATCCATGGGGTTTGAATTTATTTTTTGTTTGATTAACCCCCCCCAACAAAATAAATGTATTTTATTTTGTTTTTGCAAATAGCTGGTCACATTATATCAAGAGTTAGCAATCTTCTCTCTTGAAAGGACTGAATTTGAAACAGGATACAAATAAGGAGAAAAAAGGGTTATTTGCCACTACCACCCCTTATATTTTTTCAGGCTATTAAAATATTTAAAACTACACAACAAGGGTTTTAAAATAAGAACTTTAGGAAAATAATGGCTCATTAAAAATTATTAGGGCAATTTGAAAACAAGCAAAAGGTAATTCCCACATTCCTGTATGTTGTTGGGTGAGAGAGTGATGGTTTAAAATGAGAGTCCAGATTCTTTGGGGACACCCATTATTCATATGTTAGATCTTCTTTGCCTGTTTTCTCTATTTGTCATTTAAAAAATTCTTTTTTGTTTCTTTATTCATTTTTCATTTAAAAATGTTCTTCAGCTGGGCTCGGTGGCTCAGTCTGTAATCCCACGACATGGGAGGCTGAGGTGAGTGGATTGCCTGAGCCCGCGGGTTTGAGACCCTCCTGGGCGGCAAGACCTCATCTCTACAATAAATCAAAAAATCAGCCGGGCATGGTAGCGCATGCCTGTAATTCCGGCTACTTGGAAGGTTGAGGCAGAAGGATCACCAGAGCCCAGCAGATCGAGGCTGCAATGGCCGGGAGCTGCCACTGCACTCCAGTCTGGGTAACAGAATGAGACTCCAACTCAAAAAAAAAAAAATGTTCTTCATTTGTTATGACATTGCAGTTGTGTTTCTATGCTCCTGAGTTCCTTCTAGTCCAATCTCCATTTTTATATTTTAAAAATTGTGATTTCTTCCCTGAGTTTTATCACATAATTTCCAAGTTTTTCTAATACTAGTTGGTATTGTTCTTTCATCTCTTGTATCGTTTTCTTAATTTATTTTATTCCATTTTTCTTGATTTATTGTAGAGATGAGGACTTGCCAACTTGCCCAGGCTGGTCTCAAACCCATGGACTCAGGCAATCCTCTCACCTTGGCCTCCCAAAGTGCTGGGATTATAGGCGTGAGCTACCACGCCTGGCCCTCCTCCAACATCTTTATTATCAATTTTCTGCATTAAATTCCCCTTTGGTTTAGATATAAAAAATTATTGTCCTGAATAAACACTGATACAGTTTATTTTTTCCATCCACTCATTATTTTGTTCACTAAACAAGCATTCATGATGGGCACTTTGGAAACAATGATAAACAAGACTAACATGATGGGCACTTTGGAAACAATGATAAACAAGACTAAATTCTTGTCCTTGGGAAGTTTGTATATTAATGGAAGATCAGAAGTAAATAAATAATTACAAAAGATGACTTAAGATTGTGATAGGTAGAGTCTGTAATACTCAGTGATCTATCACAGAAACAAAGAATAGCGTACCATATGTTCTCACCCATAAGTGGACCCTGAACATTTACCATAATAGTATAAGAAAGGGATTGGCAGTAGTGGGATGCTGCTACGGTGGGGGGTGGGGATAGGGGAAACACAACATCAATAAGGATACCTGATCTCAAACCAGGTGAAGTGGGGACCAAAGGGAGGCCTACACTTTACCTGTACAATGTCCACTTATATACCTAATCTTGAATTGTACCCCACATCTTTAAAAAAAAGATTGTGACAGGTGTTATAAAAATTGAAGTGGCTTAAACAATAAATAACTGTCTCTCTTGTAAAAATGAAGTCAGAAAGTAAATGCAGGTTTGGCATAAATGAAGTCAGAAAGTAAATGCACAGGATTGGCATAATTGCTCTGAATAATTAACTCTCCTTTAAGTTTTAGTACTTCATTTTCCTGTAGAGTAACCCTCTTCCTGTAGTCCTATGTGGTGCTAGAGCTCTAGCCAACACATTCAAAATCCAGACAGCTGAATGAAGGGTTTAAGAAGATGCAAAGACCATGCACTAACTCTCCTTTAAGGTGTTTTCTAGGAACCTACCATGCAATACTGTGATTATATGTTATTAATCTGAACTCAGTCACCTGGCCACACCTAGCTGCGAGAGGCTAGGAAATGTAACCATGTGCCCAATTAAACATCGCGGGTTCCATTATTAAGAAAGGGAGAATAGATACTGAAGTAGACAACTAGTAGTCGTAAGCAAGTCAACTAAGCAAGTTCCTGTGATTTCAAGTAGCCTGAGGTGTGTTTACGAACACTCATTTGGACCGATTCTTTACAATTTTTCTCTACCACCATATAGAAGGTTTTTTCATGGCAAAGACTTGATCTTCCATTTGTATGCCCAGTTTGTCCTGCGGTGTTTCCGACTTGATTGATAATAATGTGGTTTGGGAAGCAAACATATTATTAAAATAACCTTAAAGCAACTCAGTCGCCATTATTAGCAACAATTACAGAGCAGTAGATGCAATCTCAATTTCTCTCACTAGCCTAGTAAAGCACTGAATGTGTCCTCTGTCTTTCTAAAGTATTGACTGTTGACTGCGGCATGTAATTGAGTTTTAGAAGGTGTTAGCGGTATGCATCCAGGGAGTTCACCGAAGTCACGAACAATCAGACGTCATTAGGGTGGGTGAAAAACCTTTTTTCTTTCTGGCAGGAAATTAATGGTAATCAATATTTGTATAGCATGTGATTTACATCCTCACAGCATCACCAGTATGCTATCTTCATTTTCGTGCTTATTTTAAAGATGAAATGCAGGCTCGGAGAGGGTCAAAACACCCCACTTAGCAAGTGGCAGAGCTGGAACTAGAAACCAGACCTTAGCAAACAAAATGCATCTCTAGAGAGATTTTTCACTTTCGGTAAAATTACTTGAGTACCTACTGTGGAATAATGGCATTCTTTGATTTCACTTTTAGGCGGTTGGTAAGTAATTGAGAGAAATTAAGGCCACTAATTTTGCTAGATCTTTCTAACTGGAGAATTCCAATCACTCAAAACTGTGGCTAGTATCGACTTTAGAAAACACTACGATTCCCAGCATGCCTCAGGGCACCGCCGGAAGACTTCGCTTCCCAGAATGCCATAGATTGGAACTCCGCGTTCCAGAATGCAACGCTCCTCGTCCTCGGGCCCAGAGGGCCGTAAAAAACTACAGTTCCCAGCATGCAGCGCCGCCTCCTGCCTCTGGCGCCCCGCCGGACCCTGCTCCGTAGGGACCTTTTGGACGCCCGAGGGCGGTTTCTGGAGTCACAATTCCCTTTGCGGGACGTGTCTGCGCGGCAATGCTGGCCCGTCGAGCTGGTCCAGACGAAACCTCGAAGGGATGGGCTGCGGCCTGGGCCGGCTTTCGCTCAGGCACCGTCGGAGGCAGCCCCCAGAGGGTCCTCCTGGGGCCTTCCTTCCTTTGAACTGCGGTGGCGGGCGGGCGCGCTGTCTCCGGCCGTCCTGAGAGTGGGGGCCGCCACCTCCATGGCCACGTCTATGAGTGGGCCCTGCGCCGGCAGGTCGCGGGACATCCTGTGGCGCGTGAGTGGCCCGCGCATTGTGGCGCGCGCTGCCCGCCTCGGGTCGGGCTCCGACCGCGCGTGCGCGCCG